TTAAGTGTTAAGGGGTGACAAGTGATAATTCAGTACAGAATAAGTGGATATGATGATTCTACCTAATGATAAAAGTTTTTAAAGAAAAAAATTTAAAGGTGATGTGATAGAGTGTGACACATGTATGTTGGGAGGGGGTGCTAATCTAGACAGGTGGTCAAAGGAACAGAGAGTAAGTGGAGGAAAAAGCCTCTCCAGAGGGAGAGGCAAGGCTTTTGAAAAAAATGGCTGGAAGAGTAGGTCTGGAGACAGATATACCTGCCCATCATTGGGGGTTTAGGCATGGGTAGGAAATTTGCCTCTATTTTCACCATGAAATAGTTGGTGAGGACATATGCATAAAAAGTAATGGGAACTTGGAGTTTTGTAGAGCTCTGAGTTCAGAAGTGTCTTTTTGCAGCATGGATGTGCATGCAGATCAGGAACAGGAAGAAGAGTGTGGGCAGTGCCAGAGCAGAAAAGGCAGATACTAAGTGCACAACCGCTGGCACTAAGTGGTCACAGGACTTTGGAGAAGGAAGCCTGGGCCTCAGTTTCCTCAACTGCAAAATAAGAGCACTGAATCGGGCTCCATGATTTTACAAAGGCAAGGAGGAGTTGATATAAAACCTCTATATAGCTATATAATTTAACCTTGAAACTCACCAGTGAAGTCTTTAAGACCCAGTAGTAATTGTCTCTCTCCCACCATTAATTACATTCTGGCCACTTGTCAGCTAACACAATTGTCAGACTCCTTCAGCAAAATGTCTGTTTCATAGCAAGGACTGTTTGCAGTAAGGACAAACAATTGGGACTCATTAATTCAATAATTAGGACACTGCTTATGCATCTATTGTCTACTCTAGTCAGCTAGGTAAGCTCTTCAGTCTTCATCAGAGCAATTATGCTAATATGCTTGAAATTTTCCAAGAGTATTATACCTTCACACACTTATCCTGCCTAGCAGCAGCCTGGCTTAGTCAATATTGTCACCCACAGACAATTATAATGAAGGCATAAGGCCCTATTGTTGGCATATGACTACCAAATAATCTCCCCTCACAACAGAATTTTAAACAATTTGTATATTGTTCTTTCAGGGTTTAGACACTGGCCACTGTTCTTCTTCTTCCAAAATATGTAGATCTCAGATATTTAAATGCCTTTAAGGGAGAGCTCATTGCATTGGAATTGTATTGTAATTTTCCAAGTAATATTTGAACAATCATTGGGTTATCCAATGGTCTAAATAATTATCCATTTAAGTGTATAGAGGAGAACTACAAGATGCCTGGAGAATAAGAAATATAATTTGTTTTGCATATATGTTTCTATCAGAGCCAACTTCTCTCTTAATCTCTTTCTAATTATAAAAAATCCTACTTGTCTTATTTTCTCAAATGACTTTGGCCAAAGAGTGAGAATTTTCCAGTATGATCAACCAATGCTTCTATGGTAGATGCATGAACACTTGTTAAATTTGAAGGTTTTTTTTTTTTTTTTTTGTAATATATGCCTTATTCCTGTCTCCTGCACTTCCTATCAGACGTGAAATACTAAAAACTAACATGAATAATGATTGTGTGTGTGTGTGTGGGGGGGTGCATATGTTCATATCTGGAACATAAATTCATTTGGAACCTGAAATTTCATTGTATCGATATAAAAATCTAGCCGGTGTTGGATTCCTTATCATTTACAATAAAAGTAACCCCACAGATTTGTTCTTTACAATTTTTACTTAGAAGATCTCATTTAATCAGTGTCCTTTCAGCTGCAAATAACTGGATCTTTCCTTAAGATGTAGTAATACTTGCTACAATTTAATTGCACTAAGATGAGCAAATGTGTAGCTTGGATGTTGGAAAGAGACCCAACAGTTGTATGGAGGGCCACTATAAACAGGAAGAATGGGTGCAAAGCTGTGTAGAACATTTGCAGACCTGTGACACATGTTTTCCTTTTATACAAACGCTGTATTTTACCTTTTTTCAATTACTTAGTGCTTTGGTAAGGGTCAGGGAAGACAACTGAGAGTAAGTTGTCCTTGTCCTTCAGGGATTTACATTCTAGATAGAGAGACAGTTTGTATACACAGGAGACGCTAAAAAAAACTGCTCAAGACATAAATCAAAATAAAGTAATGGTATGTATATCATTGTAGTTATAAGAGAGAAAATTCATATATGAGTGATGCAGTGTTAGGCTGGGGAAGCCAGAAAGGGCTTTAAAGATTTACCAGAGTGGAGATAGAATATGAGTTGTTTTTTGAAAAATCACATTTTTAAAAACATCAAACTACAGAAGAAATAATGATGAAATTTAAGTTTTCCACTTACGACCCTCAGGCTCTTTCCAGAAGCAACCACCATTATCATTTTTATGTGTCTCTAGTGCACTTAACCACTTTTGAATTGGATTCTGAATTGATTTAGATTTAATTGATTTTGCTGTGTCATGTGTAATGAAGGGTTAAACTTGGTCTCTATCCATATAAAAATGAGACTCACTCAATCTAATTTATACAATAGGGACCTACTGATAGATCTTGAGGTACCCTAGTGGATTTCCAAGCTGTTTGTTGCCATGGCAATCCCTGCTCTATGTGCCTTCAGTTTCTGTCTTGACCCACTTTGGTTTATGTGCATTTCTAGCAGAGGGGACAGTAGGCACGCTCCCATTTCTAAGCCCCTTGGGGATTGCATTGGTAGCCAGATTGTCCCTCCTCCCTCTTCCTCAATTATAGACATCCTGGAAGGTTTCCTAAATGAAAGAGTTCTGGACCTAAGGTCTGAGACTTGGAGAAATGGTCTAACTTAGACCTCAGGCATACTACCCACTCAATTAATGTAACCTCAAAGTACCTAACTCCCACACTGGGAGAACACTCTTCTGGAATCCCAGCTAGGCCTGCTTTTGTTTCTATTCCTACTATTCAGGTGGACACCCAAATCCACACCCTGTTCACACAGGAAAGAATACTGGTGTGACCAGGGCAGCTTTTAACATGCTACTTCATATTATAACTGTTGACTTGCATTAGCAGGAAGACAGACCCAAAACCAGAAACAGCCTTCCTACTTTTAAGTTGAACAGCCTTTGCCCTAGACCATCCTCCCTAGGGGCTCTGGAAAGAGTAAACAAGGCAGAGGAGGTGGGACAGCTTCACCAATTAGCTTCCTGGGTTTCCTTCACAAACCTTTTTTATTAAGGGGTTAGTAGAGCTGCCTCTAAACAATGGAAGAAACCACCCTGGAAGGAAGTATCTGGAGGAAGAATTTCTGCTGAGTAGCTTTGTCTTAGCATAAATGTTTGCATGCAACAGAAGAGAAGTTAATGATCACAGACTTTCCCTGAACTTCAAAGTCCTATGCTATTTACTTTCATATTATTATTTAACCATCACACAACTATATTTAAGTAGATATGGCTGCAGGTGAGTTCCATTTGCCAAAGATTAGCTATGGAACAGAGCCGTACTCAAAGCTACAATGTGATTGTAGCTGATTCCTGGGTTCGCGCTCTTCCTCGCAACTTTTGCTTGAGAAAAGTTCCTCCGTGTGTGAGGAGATGGTAGAAAGGACAGAGATTTTGAAAGGACATCTGGAAAACGTGTATGACTCAGGGGATGGCCACATCACTCTTAAGATCCATCTGAAGGCACCCTCCTCTGGGACACCTTCATTTTTAAGAAAGATTATACTTTAAAAACTCTTACTGTTTGAAGTGCTCATTGGTACTTCCTGATTACTGATTTGTATTGCTAGTGCTTTTTTCCAGCTTGTTTATCCCAAGTCCCCAACTGAATCTATAAAGTAATCCAGTTTCTGAACAGGCAGCCAAGAAAACTGAGTTCTAGTCTTTGGCACCTGTGTGAGACCTATTTCTTTTCAACTTTAGTTCTACGATGCTCCCTGCCTGTGTCACAGTGGGTGCATAGTAAATACTTGATGTCATTAGTTGGGATCAATATTTTGTCACCAGAGGCTTGGGTGTTCCTAAGGGTAAAAGCAACAAGCTTTCCCCTGGGTGCGGTTATGCCCTGGGCAGTCGTAAGTGTAGGGCCTGCTGCCTCCTGTAGGCCAGATGTGCAGACCCGGGCCTAATGGCCCAACAGTGGAGAAAAGGGGAAGGGAAGATAGCCCAACCATTAAGGGGCATCGTGACAGGCGTTTCTTTTAGACTTCACAAAGACCCTTCCGGACATGCATTATTGCTATCATCCTTGCTGAAGAAGGAACCAAGGTTCAGGTTAAACTCTTATACCTGGCATCCCCTGCCCAGGCCTAAGTGTTCCTGAAAGACCCCAGCTCCGGGCTTATTTACATTGCGAACTCGCCCTCGTCTGCAGCACGAGGGCCCCGCCCACTCATTTGCATAGGGCGCACCCGGCTTCTCCAGAACCCCTCTCTCCCGGGCGCGTCCTCCGGGCTGCCCGAGTCCTCCCCGTGGCATGAGCACGTGTCTGCCCCGGCCTCACGACGGACCGTGGACGAGGCGGCAGGCCCCCACAGGACCCACCCCACGGCGCTGGCGAGGGACCCGGCAGTTGCCGGGGATCGTTTTCTAGCGCGACAAGGGACGGGCCTCTCCCTCCCCACCCGCGAGCCCAGATGGGAGCGCGCCGAAGCCCAACTCAAGCGAAACCGCTGGCGTCCCGCCCCGCCCGGCCGCGCCCCGCCTCGCCTCACGCTAGACGGGGGAGGCGGGACCAATCAGCAAGCGACGTCTCCCTTCCGATTCGAGGCCCCCGACGCGCGGCTCACACCCCGAGCTCCCCGCGTGCTGATTGGCTGCGGGCGCCGCCGGTCCGGCCGGGAGGCGGGGCGGGCCGTAGGCAAAGGGAGGTGGGGAGGCGGTGGCCGGCGACTCCCCGCGCCCCGCTCGCCCCCTGGCCCTTCCCGCGGCGCTCGGCCTCGTTCCTTTCCTCCTCCGCTCCCTCCGTCTTCCGTACACGCCCCGCGCGACGCTTGGCCAGCGTGCCTCGCGCCCTAACGGGCGGCTGGAGGCGCCAATCAGCGGGAGGCAGGGTGCCAGCCCCGGGGCTGCGCCGGCGAATCGGCGGGGCCCGCGGCCCGGGGTGGCAGGCGGGTCTACCCGCGCGGCCGCGGCGGCGGAGGAGCAGCTAGCCAGCCAGCAGCCCGCCAGCCGCCGGGAGGTGGGTGCGCGGCGGCCGGCGGTCGGCGGCCGAGGGCGGAAGCGGAGGTGGGGCGGCGGGGGAGGGCGCGGCCGTGCGGGCGGCGGGGAGGGCTGCGGGCGCGCGCCTGAGGGGAGGAGGGGCGGCGCGGGCGCCCGCGTCTTCACCCCCTCCTTCCCCGCGGGCGGCGGCCAGGCCCCCACCTCTCCCCTCCCCTCGCGCGCGCCGGGGTGGCTGGCCGGGCCCGGGCCTGGGGGCGGGGCGGGAAGACGGCGGCGGGGAGTGTTTTCAGTTCCGCCTCCAATCGCCCATTCCCCTCTTCCCCTCCCAGCCCCCTCCATCCCATCGGAAGAGGAAGGAACAAAAGGTCCTGGACCCCCCGGATCTGACGGGGCGGGACCTGGTGCCTCTGTGCAGGTAAAGCCTCGGCGCCCGCGGGCCTCGGGATAGGGGTGTGTTTGTGTGCGGCCGCGGCTTGGGGTGATGGGCCGTGTCACATGGCCGCGGCTGGTGGGGGCTGGGGTGTGGCGAGTTCGGGGGCTGTGGGTTCGCGGGCCCGGTGGTGCGGGTTGGGGGCCGGAGAACCCGGGAGGGACGGGGCTTGGCGGTCAGTGCTGCCGCCCAGCCTGGCGGGGGCGGAGGATGCCTGCGTCCCTTCCCCTCGCGGCTCTCACGCTCCATAGTTTGTGGTTTTGATTTTTAAAGCCGAAGAGCCAGAGCTCTTGTTTCAGGAGTTGTGGGGAAGCTGTGTTAGGGGCGCGTAATACTTTGCTTCCACTTTTTTTTTTTTTTGGTCCGGTAACCTTTGTTAACCATAGTAGTCTCGGGTTTTCCATGGCTTGTGTATACTCACAAACACGAACACAGCTGATACTCTGTGATCATCCTTCACTCATTTGTGAAAGTTGTTCTGCGGGTGGAGCCTATTAGTTTTTATCACACGCCTTTGGAAAGCCCTCTAAGTGATTTCACGTATTTCAAATTTGGTTGTCAAAATTGCAACTTATTTTGTTCTCTTAGGGGATACTGTCCTTGGTTCAAGTACTTTTGTCTTTTACTTACCCTTATGATTTCCTTTTGATCCTAAACAGAAAGAGAATACCTGGGTTGATTTGTTACTCCTTCCTCTTGACCCTTTAAAAGCAAAACAGCACCAGTGTAGTGTCAACCATACCTTAAAAAAACAAAAAACAAAAAACTCCAGGTGAAACGAATTTGCAAGCAGCATTTTCCATTAGTTCTGTCTTGTTTGTTATAGTTTTTTTTTGGTCTGATAACCTTTGTTAACAATAGTAGTCTCGAGTTTTCCATGGCTTGTGTGTGTGACACGCACACAGCTGATACTCTTAAATTTTGGTGTGTGAAAATTTTTAAAAGATATGTGTAAAATAATTGTTAATAAATAAATAACTTGGAAGTAGTTTCACCTTTTTGCAAATGGTCCTTGAAATGTGAATGAATTTCCAAAATTCCTTTTCTCTTTTCTGACTTCATATGAATTGAACCTGATAGGTTCGTATGAATGAATCACTGATAGGATGTTTTTCTTGCGCCTAATAATAAATTTGCTCTTATGCTGAAAATTTGCTCTTCTATTTTAACCCCCTTTCAAAAAGTTTTCATCTTACATTGAACTTAGTCAAATAGTTAAATGGAGTTTCAACATTTTTTAATACATGAATTAGTGAAGCAAATGCGGCAGAGATGTGAGAAGGAATTTAAAATGGGCTTCATAAATGTATCATAGTTTGACGGTTTTTTAAAAATTTGCCTTCAGAAAACCCACACAAGATATTTAAAGAATTTCGTCTGCCAAAAGGTCATTTAGCAAACGTATATATTAAATTCAAAAGTAATACTTTAATTTTTAAAGTTTCTTAGCCTTTGCGGTAAACTTGGGTGTGGTAGTAAATATAAATAGTTCACACCTTGGGCATTTCTAAACCGAGTACCCACTTATACACTTACTATAAATATTAACTGGATTTAATTGAGTTCAAGTCAGTTCACTGGCCAGGTTTAATTAATGGAATGTGATTGGAAACGTTCATTTTGGGGTTTTAGTAAGAAATTGCTCTTACAGCTTGCTTTTTATACTTTGCCACACCTTCTAAAGTGCGGCTAAAGCGTTGAAGATGTTCAACAAAAGTTTGGTGTTTCAAGGTTGTAACCTACGTGTACTTAGTCATAAGTGGTCATGTCTCCACATAGTCGGTAAGCTTCATGAAATAATAGTCTTTTAAGAAACTGTGCAGGGTAATTTCCTGTTGTTTGTGGCTTATCAGGCTTGGTATGTGTTTTTAACTCTTATGTAGGAATATAGGCGATGGTTTTGTGTATTTCAACAGAGTTTCTCTTTAATAGGAACAAAGGTTATTTCTGTTCTACTTCAAGATGGCAAGAGGTTGTCCCCTTTTCATTTTTACGTAATAAATATTAGAATCATGTTGCTGTAATCTTGTTACTTCACATTTAGGGGAATATATGTGAATGGAAAACCTCAGTTTAGCTGCATAAACTGCTGGCCAAAGACCTATTGAATTTTTACATTTTGCAAATGGAGATTTCATATTCTTGGGACAAGAGTCATTTTTAGAGGGTGAAGGGATTCATGTCTTTTAAGATTCCTAGTCTTTTGATGTGTATAGAACAGCTATTTTTAGGCCCTTAGTTTCTGTAAGAGGGAAGATGTTTTCCACTAAGTTTTGCAAAAGTGTGTCAGAAAATGTGAATGTAAAGAATTCCAAGCCAATTTAGGAGAGGTATGCATTTATTCAACAAATAACTTGTATTGACCAAGTGGCATTTATTCATCAAACAGCTTTTTCTGTGAGTTGGGCTTTGGTCTAGGCAATAAAGTATCAGCAAGAAAGTACACCCCTTTTCCTTAATGGAATTAGAAAAGTGGAAAGTCATGTCCATTGCCCGATTCTCCAGTGTTCAGAGTAAGAAAATTGTTAGTGTACAAATTGAGGGAGCATGTGTTACTGAGCCATTCCTCAAGTGTGCTTGCCATGCCTCCTATCACATGTAGTGGGGACAGCACTGGGGAAGATGTGAAGTGTTAACTCAGTGTCACTCGGAACAATTGGTGTATTTTGGGGGGAATTGGTACCAGTTTTGCACAATCTGTGTAAACAAGATATGGCCAGTCTTTCAGAAACGTGTTTATTGCTGAACAGATGTACACTTGTAGAGCTAAGCTTCATTTGGCCTTAATTTGATTACTTATTGCCCTTTAGTTACAGAAACTGGTTAAGGCAAGAAGGGAGACTTGAATGAATCAGGTTCCAGTGAAGGGATTAGGAATAAACTGTAAAAACAATTAGTTATACTGAGAACCAGAATTGGACAGCAATCTCATGTAGTGCAAAGGCCTTGGGTTTTGGAATCAGAGAGCCCCTAGGCTAATACTTTGTTTCTCAGTTACAGTATTGGGCAATTTACTACTTAATCCTTGACTCTTGGTTTTCTGACAGAAAATGGAAGTAATAACCTCTTCCTCTTAATAAATGATCACAATTAAAGTACCTAGAACATTACCTGAAGATATATAAGGGTCCCCCCAAATGATCTTTTCCTCTCTTGTAGTTGTGGGTTTGTTACTTGTTCTAATCCAAATGATTTGCCTACACTGTTGTTATTGACCTATTAAAATTTATTCCAGCAGCAGGCAATGAACAGCAAAGGCCTGGGATAGCCAAATTGTTCCAGTCTGCAGCTTAAAGCTTAGGAGAGCCTTGGAGACCCCTAATAAGAATGTGTTGGCATTTATTTAAAGTGTTTCTAACAAGCAAAGTTATCGGCTTCTAAACCTGCACTAGATTAGAAACAAGTAGATTATGGGTACTGTGGGAGGTTTAAAGGGGGTGTGGTGGGGGCTGGATAGTAGGATGTTAGCTTAGTGTCTATTGTAAGAAAAAACAGGTAACAGCCTGGTGAGGATAATAGAGATAATCTACAAGACACAAAAATAGTCAGCCTGGCTAGCATGTCTGGGGCCATTCTGTGCAGGACCAGACCTGAAACCATAGTAATGAATGTTCATCAATTAGCTTAAATCATGTTTGGCAAAATCTTTTTAAGAGTGCAGTAATCTACATAATATACTTTAGATTGTCACTCAGGATGATTAACAAATGTTCTTAAAGGGGTAGAAGATTGTGCTATGGCTTATGGCTTATTTCATGAAAGATCCACAGTACCTGTTATGACCAAGATGTTTTTTATTTGTTTTGCCATTCAAACAGCCATTCAGATTCCAAGCTGAAAGGGTAGCCAGCAGTAAAGGAAGGCTGTCTCAGTGTGGTAGCACCCTATGCCTCCCCTTTCTTCGAAGTAAGTAATTTTTTTGTCAGTCTGCAGGAGTATCATACAAAATTTCACTAGTGCTTTGAGAATAGTGTATGCTTTTCACTGTGCTTTGTGATAGAGTATGCTGGAGATTTCTGGGACAAAGCAAGAGAGGATAGTTGGCTGATCTCTCTGTTGAGGGTTTCTTGACTCTTGTAATGTGACTTCTGCCCAGTATTGGCATTGATACTTTGTTTGATCCCCTTTCTTCTAACCTTACCTCAGGTTTACTTTTTAAACCATCTGTATTATCAGATAATTATTGGTGACTTTGTAATATGTTGCCTAGGCTATTTTTAAAAATTGGATTTTTTTTTTTTATCAGTACAAAAGTAATCTAGCCTTTTTGGTTTAAAAATGCATAGTTAGAGGCCTATTGCTTGTTATTGATCAATTTCGACCTTTTTTTTTTCAGGTTGGTGTAGTTGTGATGTATTCAGGTAGGACATAATTCAGTGTTTATTCTAGATTTACATCTCAAAGAGAACTCTCAGCTACAGTTCAGCAGTTTCATGTAGAGAGAATGTAATTTTTCCAAGCCAGGTGGATTTAGACACTGCCTTTAGTTTGATTAGGTAGCCAGAAATTTTAGGGTGATTCTGTTTTTTCTGTGCTTGCCTTACATTGTACAGTGTGAGTGGTTCTCCTTGGCTCAGTGGGTTTCTATTATTTGTAGCTGAAGCGCATTGATAGGACAGGTGCTTGATGTATTTAGGTTTGTACTCTTAAGAAAACAGAAATTCTAACATGATTCAAAATTTGTGAATTTGTGAATTTACTGTGAAATTGTCACTAATTCTCCTAGGTAGCTCTTTTCTTTTTCAAAATCTGGTTTTACATTGGCCTGAAGGCTGTAGAGCAGTGGAAAGCTAGGATAGATTTTAGTTCCTTGTTTAGTGCACGTGTCTACCTTACATGTAAAAATCTGCATTTCCTTGAATAATCTACAGTGCCATACCTTCATTCTGTGGGGAAGGGGGATGTAGTTTCAGATTTAATGTATTCAGTTAATAAGAAAGAGTAATCTTTGGTGAACCACTGGTAGTCTGTCTGTTCATTACTTTTAGTCTCTTAAGTAAAAAAAAAAAAACTATCTGAGGAAGTAGCGTAGTAAATCTGTATAGTTGATATTATAGTTTGCCTGTACTTAAACTACATTTTCATATGCTGCTTCAGCTACTTCCAGAAATCCTATAAAGAGAACATGGTTAAGGTCTTGTAAATATCGAGGAAATGTTCCATCTTAATCACCTCTTTCATTTCAGAATGTGGGGTGGTGAGGCTGGACACAGTGGCTCAAGCCTGTAATCTCAGCACTTGGGGAGGCCAAGGTGGGCAGATCACTTGAGGTCAGGAGTTTAGACCAGCCTGGTCAACATGGTGAAACACTGTCTCTACTAAAAATGCAACAGTTAGCCGGGTGTGGTGGTGGCGGCGGCGATGACCGCCTGTAGTCCCAGCTACTTGGGAGGCAGAGATAGGAGAATTGGGTGAACCTGCAAGGACGAGGTTGCAGTGAGCTAAGATCCCACCACTGCACTCCAGCCTGGGCAACAGAGTGAAGCTCCATCTCAAAAAAAAAAAAAAAAGAATGTGGAGTGGCAAATCTTTTTTGCAGAGTCCCCTGTATAAACTCCTTATAAAGGATGCAAGGGAAGCTGGGCCCATGAGCCTTCTCCTTTGACTTGAATGAACTATTGAAACTTTTTTGTTGACTAGAGATACTTTATCTGTGGCAGTGAATGCAAATTTTCCTTATTTAGATCAACTTAAAAAAATTTTTTTTTGAGATGGAGTTTTACTCTTAGGCCTAGGCTGGAGTACAGTGGCACGATCTCTGCTCACTGCAACCTCTGCCTCCCAGGTTCAAGTGATTCTTCTACTCAGCCTCCCAGGTTGCTGGGATTACAGGCATGTGCCACCACATCTGGCTAATTTTGTATTTTTGGTAGAGATGGAGTTTCACTTTGTGGTCAGGCTGGTCTTGAACTCCTGACCTCAGGTGATCTGCCTGCCTTGGGCTCCCAAAGTGCTGGGATTACAGGCGTGAGCCACCGCGTTCAGCCTAAAATTCTTAATAGACAGATAGTTATGTTGTAGTTCATGTTAACTGATAAATTAAGCTTTTCTTTTAAAAAATGTTTTGGTTATCAAGAGGGTCCAGCTTTGGCCTGAGGTTTGTACATTGGCCATTTCTACTCTAAACCAGTAGTAGTCAGACTTAAAACATATGCACACCAGTATACAAAGCAGCAACTAGAAAGCCTTTAGAGAGAAATATGCAGAATCTCAAAATGTAAAATAGATACAAAGAGTAAAGCTGTTTTGTGGAAAGACGAGTAAGCAGTTGAAGTCCTGCCTGATGAGTTTTGCTTTCAACCTCAACCCTAGGAAGCCTTTGAAGCACCACTGAAGAACCATAGGTCTTGGAGAAATTTTTGCTGTAGACCTGCTCTATCTTAACAGGTGCCACATGTAGCTATTTAGCACCTGAAATGTGGCTGCTGTGACTGAGGAACTGAATGTTAAATTTTACTTAATCTAAATGTATGTAGTCATAGGCAGCTGATGGCTACTGTATTAGACAGCAGATACCTAAGGACATTTACATCATTGTAGAAGGGTCTGTTGGAGGGCACTACTCTGAACTTGAGTTGAACTTTTATGGCCTGAGGACCCCACTCGTGATTTGACGTGATATTAGTTGCTGCTTCAGAAGAGAGTCAAGATAGACTTTGGGAAATTGTAGAGCAGTTGAAGTACTTAATATTTGTGCTGATTTGAGTCTGGGCCTGTGTAGTGTTGTCATAGGTGCTTTTTTTTTAAAAATAATCTGGTAATGATAAACCAATAAATAAGTTGTATGTTTACAAGCTGATGATAGAGTTGTGGATTTCACAAAACTCATTATAGGTGATAGGAATGTAACTTCTAGGTTAAAAAAAAAAGAAAGGTGTTTTTGTACAGCAGTCCCTATTTAATGTGGACTTTTGGTAAAATAATAACTTTCCTGAATTCAAGCTTGCGTTAGGTTTGACAGTCCATAAAGTGGAACACATGAATGTTTCCTGTTTGCTTTTGTTGAAAAGACACATCACTCATTCTCCACGGGGGCCAACTTAGGTTTCCAGTTGGCGGTGTCTTTTTTTTACTAGCTTATGCTTTGGAAAGAACATAGTTATAGTGAGAATTGAAAAATCTGTTTTATAAAAATTGGCTTTTATGTATTTTAATTTTTTTTGATATTTTCTATTGTCCTGGTTACTAATGAATTATTTATCTGACTAAAACAGTCGTAAAATTCCAGGTCATTGATGCTGTTGTTTTTTTCTCTGTCTTGCAAGTGTGTTTGACCGTACATTGCTAAAAATCTGTCTCTTTAGGGGATTGTTTCCAGGACCTCCTGTAGGCACCAGAATCTAAGAATGCTGAAGTCCCTTGTATAAAATGGTGTAGACTTTGTAATCTATGCACATTTTATTGTTCAGTCTTCTCTAGATTGCATAATATCTAATACAGTGTAAATACTTGTTCTGTATTAAGAAATGATGATGAGAAAAAAGTCTGTACATGTTCAATACAGGCGGTTTTTTTCCTGATTATTTTTTATCGATGGTTGGTTTAATCTATGTATTTGGAACCCACAGATAAGGAGGACATGTACAGTGATTTTGTATTTCTAGTGGGCTCTTAAATGTTCTAGATGAGGCAGCACCATTATATTTAAAGTATTTTATGTTGAAATAATTAACTTTGGTTTTCTTTTGAAATAAAAATTTACATAGGTATTTGGGGACTATTTTGTATTTCCCTGCAGTTTGAAGATTTGAAATTTCTCTTTTCTCCATACCTTTGAAAAGTGCGGTCTACATTTGCTTTCTGCGTGTAATCACCTTATCTGTTCTTGACTTCAACTTTGTGAAATTTTTTTTAACCATTCTTTTTCACATATCCCTTTCTACAGGCCTTCCAAGTTTAGTAATCTTTTCTCAATAATCATACCTTCATGGCTTGCCATTATTGCTTGTACTCTATCTAAATTTCTTAAAATGGCACAGACACAAGTTCGGCCCATTGTTCCTTCTGTAAAGAGATAAAAATGTTGGATAAAACATAAAACAAGTTTTCTCTTACGTATGTATATAGTTGAGCTTAAGGGAGAGAGAAAGTGCCCTAGTACTAGAAACTTAAACAAATTAGTCAACTTTAAGGAAAGGCTGGCCTTGGGGGATTTACTAGAGATTCAGTAGCTGGGGCTGAGGTTATTCAATGAAGAGACGGGACTCTGGGAACTGTGTGCTTAAAAAAATTAAAAATAAAAACTCTTCTTGTATCATTGAAACATCTGTGGATTCTGGGAGAAAGAAGCCTCGGACCTCTCTATGGAGGAATTGAAAAAACAGTAGGCTTTAGATGGACTTAAATATCACAACAAGGCAAGGCAGAGTAAATGAAAACAGATCTGCAGCTGCATGTGGAATAGTGAATTTTTGTATACATGGTACATTACTGCAATCCAAAATTCAGGGAGACACAGTGAAGAGTCTCTTTACTAGTCTGTCCTTTGCCATACAGTTGCCTTTTCAAAGGCAAGTAGCTTTACTGGGTTTTTGTGTGGTGGTCCAGGGATTTTATGCACCTATTAACAATTTTGTGTGTGTATTACCTTTTAATACAAGTGGTCATATATGTCATTTAATAGTACATCTTATTTTGTGTTAGTATATAATGCATGCCTTTTTTTTTTTTTTTTTTTTTTTGGAGGAGTGGGTTACATAATATTCTTTTGTATGGGTGTCTGTAATTTTTTTTTTTTTAAGTCAGTGCTTCACTGTTACCCAGGCTGGAATGCAGTGGTGTCATCACAGCTCACTGCAATCTTGACTGTCAGGGCTCAAGCGATCCTCCCACCTCTGCCACCTGAGTAGCTGGGACTACAGGCACATGCCTACCATGTCTAGCTATTTTTAAAATTTTTTGTGGAGAGGGGGTTTTGCCAAGTTGCCCAGGCTTGTCTTGAATTCCTAGGCTCAAGCGATTTGCCTGCCTCGGCTTCCCAAAGTTTTGGGATTACAGGCGTGAGCCACTGTGCCTGGCTGGGTGTCTGCATATATTTATCAGTTCTCTGTTGAACATTTAGATGATTTCCAGTCTTGTGGTATTAAAAACAATGCTACAACAAATAACTTTGTTTATATAGTGTTTTGCTCCTTTGCAGGTATGTCTGTAAGATAGATTTCTAGGAGTAGTTCAAAGAATATCTACATTTGTAATTTATTTTAGAGAATGTACTTCATTTTTTTGAATAACACATGCACATGGTATAAAAGTCAAGGAGAACAAAATAGTAGATACTGAAAAAAGTAAGTCTCCTTCATATCTCCTACCTCCTTCTGTCCTGTTGTGCTTTCCAGAAATGTAATAATTACTGTTACTAGCT